CGACATCTTACTAATGTCCATATTGATTAGGTCCCTGGCAGTCGGTGCTGCCTCTTATTCTTTTTTTTGAGGTGAGTTTTTCTGTCTTGTCATTTTGTCCAGAGGAGAATAGTTGAATGAGAGAACAAAATGCTAACACCATAACAACGACCCCAGAAAAATACACACTAAACAAATCAGAAGAGACTGAAACAGAGGGAAAAGAAAGGGAAAGAAAGAAGAAAGAAAAAGACCAAAAAAGGAGAGAATATGATCAGGCTGGTGAATAGGTCAGTGCCACACACTAGATTTTGGGCGTATTTTGGTCTGTTGGAAGAAACTGCCTCCCAAAATTTTAAAGAAAGAAAAACTTATATATTTACAAAAATAAGGGTAAATACGATGAAGGGATGGAATATGACTGTGAAGATGAAAATTATAAAAGATTTTTTAAAAGGAATTGATAAGATAAGAAGTTGGTTGAAAAAAGAAAGAAGAGAAATTAAAAAGAAAAAGGAAAGAATGTGATCAGGCAGGAGGCTAGAACAAAGCCATACACTAGAGATTTAGGGTATATTTTGGTCTGTTAGAAGAAACTGTATCCCAAAATTTTAAAGAGAGAACAACTTATATATATATACCAAAAATAAGGTTAACTACTATGAAGGGATAGAATATGCCTCTTCCAGAAAGCGGTCGCTTTTCTGTTCAGAGAGTTGCTGCTATTCTTTTCTTCGATCTCCTGTTGAGTTTGTAGGTTTTCAGAATGGTTTGATCCCTATCTAGCCGAAATCCTGGGACCAGATGAAATTTAGGTCTCCTACTACTCTGCCATCTTGCTCCTCCTCCAGATAGGGATGTTTTAACCCCAACAGGAATATAGGAGGGAAAGACAGTTCAGAGGAAATGTTAAAAGATTTGATTTGAATTCACTTGAACATAAGATTCATTTGGGACACAATCTGATAATGACCAGGCAACAGTCTAAGGGAAAATCATTCCCCAATTTTAGTACCTATCTTGTGAATGAAAATATATTATAACTTTGTTCAAATATATGGCATCCATATTTTTGAATGCCTTAGAGGGATAAGAAAATTATTTATTCTCAAATCCATTTGAGATTATAACTGTAATTCACTGTCTCTACAGCAGAAATGTGGGAGGTAGAAATAGGTTAAAAATAACTGGCTCCAAATATCCAGAATTGCAATTGGGGGAAAAAAACAGGCAGCCTAACTGTCAGTCCAAGTTATTACCACAAATTTTATCACATAGTAGAGAAAATATAGACATGATATAATGTTAAATAAACTAGAATTGATTTAAATCTGTAACAGAGGTTGGAGGTCATTGAGATTTGTTTAGATTCTTAATATTACTGACAGCATATTAGAAATGGCCAAGCCAATACAAAATACTATATCCAGCAAAAACTCATTACTTTTATGAAAATATTAAATTTCTGTAATCCCCTTCTTTCACAGACCTTCTTGAGGCAAACAAACAAACAAAAATGCTATTTCACTTGCAAAATATTTTCCCCAAGTTTCCTTAGAACATTTGAAGAATGCTTTTCTTCTGTTTTCTTTAACAACACAAGAAAATATACTCTTACCATCATGTTGTTTCTCAACACCACCCATATCAAAATTATCTTAAGTATTGGGCAACCGCAGATTTGGAATGAAAAAAAAAAGCATTAGTCAATAGTCCATTGAAGTCCCAATTAACGAAAATAATTTTTCTCTCTAACAGAAAAAAGATGATCTGGGATTTTGTGATTCATTGTGTTCAGGATATAGATAAGTGATTTCTTCCAAGGTTTTGATTCCAGTGCAGTTTAAGATATACATAACCATTTCTGGGCTATTTTTGAAGGAAAATGAAAGAAATTCACTTTTTGTGTGATTTGTAGAAGTGGTTTTCAAAATCTCTTAAAGCAAACTGATGAGGCTTCTAAAAAAGGTCTAGGGATTTTGAGACTTGACTAACATTCAAGAATCTTGGAGTTTGTCCACTGACTTCAGTACAGTGCACATACTAAGTTAATTCTGTGACATGAGGTCTTTGGGAAACTGGCTAAAATTGTAAAAAAAAAAAAAGCAAGAAAAGCTGAAATATCTTGAAAATATAAAAAGAATTAATCACCTCCAAATATATTTTCCAAGAGCAATAATGTATTATATAATTTTTACATATTTGAAAATAAGACAAAGCACTGTTTACCAATAGAGTTCTGTCACCTAGCCACATATTTGAATACCATCCTGTCATAATTTCCCTTATACTTATCTATTTTGTTGATTATAAAATATGATCATAGACTGTAAGGTTGCTTGTAATCTTCACAGTGTAGCTATCCTCCCTATAGAAAACCACTAGGAAACAAATTACAGGTTAGATGCCAGCAGTATTCTAATAAGACAGCTCCTTAGTTTAATAATAGCAGCTCTAAATTGATGTGACTGCACAAAATACAAAAGATGCAGAGCTCAGGTGTGAAACTTCTAATTCACAAGAAACTGGGGGAGTCTTCATTTGACTCTTTATTATCCTTAACGAGAAGATGAAACTTATCACTGATGAACTTCAAGATTGCCTGAAGTATCTCCCAAGGAGTTATAGATAGAACCTATTTCAAAGTACTTGGTATTCACATAGATTAGGATCTTGCTCAAATACTTCAGTGTTACCTCTGAGGAATTAGGAAAATCGTTGAGAAAAATCATCTTGTTACTATGAAGCACCTACTCTGCTCAGCTTTATGGGACATGGCTTTGAGAAACAACCTAACATAGAACCAGGCACAACATTTCATAATGTAGACAGTAGATGTGATGGGAATGCCACTATAGGAAATATCACCATGGAGACTTTCAAGGAAGAGGTGCAGTATATAAATTCTGGGAAGGTGTGGGATGAGATTAGGGAGAGAAGAAGCAAATCGGTAGATAATCCTGGTGGGGGAATACCAAAAGGAAAAGCAGAGGATTGAACCAGTATAGATGATAATGACAGCTAATGGAACAGGAGATGGTAGGGCTAGTTAGGAGAGATGAGGTCCAGCACGGGAGGATGAACCTTACAGCTTTGATCTATAAATTATGTCTGAGAGGCACCTATGGCATAAAAGTTAAGAGCTTAAGCTCTGAGACACTCTGCCTTACCAGCTGCTTGACTCTGGGCAAGTAATTTTCTATCCTCCAATTTCCTTATCTGTGTAATAAGGCTAATAATAATTTGTATCAATACAAGGGAAGTGCTTGCAAGTTTTTTTATTGTATCAAGACTGACATTCTTAGGGAGAGGAATATAT